CCCAGCGCCTTCAGCCATTTGTGTCCAGTAAAACGAATGTGGTCAGCATGAATGTCGGAGATTTACAGAATAATTTATTTTGGGGATTTATTTACTGCTACAAAAGAACTGGAGGTGACGTAATCACAGTTCTTAAGTTGCTTAGTGATTAGTTTGTGTCAGATATGTTCCTGTTTTTCTCGTCTTCCAAAACAGAGAATTTGCGAAATAATTCCACAACAATTCACAGGCCTAGAACAAATTACTTGTCAGCTGACTGTCGATTTTCCCAACAAATCATCAAAGAATGGAGCTCTTTATCTCAATACGTGATTGAAGCTGCATCCTTCAAAAGGAAGTTGGATCATTTGAGAGGTCATCATTACCAGGACGAACACAGGCCACATCACATCCTTTTATCCTCAGAATCAGGACTTGAATTTGAACATTGAGAATTTGGTGGTATTATAACTTGTACTCGCTACGGCGTTTTATTACTGTTCGTGAGTGGTGCGTTACGTAGGACTTTCCCATTAGACCTTATTATTTCGTGAATGAGATCATCCCTAATTAAAATGCAGCCAATAAGTACCTCTTGGTTAGTATCCCCAAAACTTTTCCGATAAGCCTGATATGCTTAGTTGTTAAGATATCGGAGATTATTTCAAAAATACTTATGGAAGGACGAAGAGTTTCGCTAGTCATTTTGTTGTATATTTCGGTATATTTCCCGTCTGCACTTAAATGTATCGTTTTCCTGCGCTAATTTTACCCGTATTGTAATGTCATTATATAAAGTGTACCGTAATTTTGGAAATTGATTGAACTTAGTGTTCACCGATATACATGACAGAATACAATAAACTTCGAAATTTACCTTACAGCACCTAGGTTGTGTTGATTTTCATCAATAAATTTCGCAATCAATTCATCTACAACCGATTAGCCAGGGATTCCATGACCTATCTGTATAGATGCCGTTTTTCAAGTTTTCAGGCTCCAACAGAACACTATTGTATGCAATTATTTCAGTGTTGGGATGCAGTATGCTTTCTGAGTGACTGTATTTACTGTCACGGATAAAGCTATATGCGTAGCAAGTTATCCAAATAATATATGTAGATTGTCCAGTCTTATTGACTTTCATGTGCTTGAAGTTCTGAGTTCCTTGAGTATAGCGTTCTGTTTACTGTTCATAGAAATCCGTCCAATCTCATTTATACAGCTTATTCTGTATTCTCAGTTAGCTTGTAAGTGCAGGCTCCCGAGGTTGTTTGTGGCATTAAAGCTGATATCAGTTCCGGATGAAAACCCTAACTATCAACAGTAAATATTAATTCTGATTCCTTACACTGTTTTATAGCCCTCATTTTACCGTAGTATGTAGGTGGACATTCTCAAGGTTTTTAAGCGTCTCTCAAAGGTCGTCCATAAATTATAGTCGCACCAAGTTCTAATCGCCTGCCATGCAAAACACGTTCGCGACGCTAATCAGAGTAGGGATCCTGTGAAATCTTGTTTATGTTGTTAATATACGTGGATGTTTACTTAATTTGCTTGATAACACATATTTCTTATCTACCTATAAAGGTTCTATGCTTTGGTATTTTCAATTGTTATCTGCGTTCTACTCACTGCCTTCTCACCGCAGGGGTGTTGTTTACGAAATTGAGAGGACGAAAAGCGAATGTCCGGAGCTTTAACTGGGTTGGCGGATATAGCGGATCAACCTAGGGTAGTTGAGAAACGTGATTCCAAACCATTGGTGCACATGGTCTCTAGGATGCCAATGGAAGAAAAGGTCTATGAACGGAGAGACTGTAATTTAGGGACCAGCCAATCAGAAGCGTTTGAGCAATTTTAAGGTCACGGAGGCAAGTTCAACACGCGATGCTAACATACGATCGATTCACAGCGGATTTTAGAGATGAGGTGATTAATGAGAGGTTACAACAGATGGGACGGCGAGACTCTAATTTAGGGACGAGACAATCAGAACCTCTGAACCTTAATCAAACCTTAACAAGTTTTTAAATCATGTAAAAGGAGAATATACACTGTAATTCGTTACTTTCATATAATATATTTTCACTTTATACTAACTTTCTTCTGATTGGCTAATAATTGTCAAGGTCACTTAAGATTCGTTCAAAGGTCGTCCTTAAATTAGAGTCTCGCCGCAGAAAGTTATTAACTGAACGTTTGCCATCATTAACAGTCGTGACTGCTTCGGAGACATCAAACAGTATTGGTAGTTTTTCGGCAAAGTAGTGGAACTAAGTGTTCGTTTAAAGATAAATTATGCTTTTTCAATTGACAAGTTCGTGTCAACTGATCAGTCAGCTTCTGCAACACTCCCATGGCCCAAATATGCACTCACCGTACTCTTGGGAGGGGGGCTGTCAGGTCGTAAACTGTCACAAGCTCTGAACCTGAGTGACAAAATCTCATGATCACTATTAGCCTATTTTATTTATGAGTAATAAGTTTAATAAAGAAGATCCTTGGCTTGAACCAGGACATGTGGGATTGAATACATGCTGTTATAGAGCATGCTTCATCACGATCACTAGTCTACTGTCGTATATTCCACTGGATACAGAGGTGGATAGATCTTGTAAATTTATATTGGGAGCATTGAAATCTAACGCAAGGCACCAGTTACATTTAATCTTTAATGTATGCTAAATCGAAATCAGCTTGTTGTACCGGTTTTCTGACTCCACTATGATGGAACTGATGATGTTAATGAGATGCAGATCCCATTTACTACGTATACACTGTCGATAAACCCTGTCAACAACACTGATACTGAAAGTTAAATAACGAAAGTATTGGAGGTACATACATTTCAGATATTTGGTAATTCAAATCAATGACAAGAAACGAAAGTGAATCGGGGCGGTGGACGTAATAATTGGTGGGTGGAGTGGCTGAGTGGTTCAAGGCACCAGTCCGAAAGGGCATGGGTTCGAATTCTACCTCCATCACAACCTTTGCCCCCAAATACCCTGGTATGGCCAAGAGTTTTTGGGGGGGCCGCTCTCCCTCTCGAAGTGCTCTCACATGGTCACGCGTATATAGCCTCTGCCAAGGAAGTTCTACTCACTGCCTTCTCGTGGCGGAGGTGCTGTTTACGAAATCAAGAGGATGAAAAGCGAATGTCCGGCACTTCAAACGGGTTGGTGGACACGAAAAGTCAATCTAGGGGAGTTGGAAAACCCAATGGTGCACACGGGCTCCAGTATCCTGAGGGAACAAATGGTGTATGAACCAATTGTTGGTCACCGGCTACCATATAACTGCATCTCCTGACATCGCTCCACTGCCTTGTGGATCAGACCTTTAGGTTGAAGGCTCCGGGTGTGGTCCCCTAAGAAAACCACCTACTTCGGTTTGTGTGACCGGGCAGTATCACAGCCGTCACACAAATCAAATGAGATTTATGTGGCGCATATGTATCTAGTGCCCTGTTGTACCAGTATTTATGTGTTCAAATAAATAAATAATAATTGGTGACTCAGTCTTCATATAAAGTGAATAATGTATAAGTTAAGGAAAAGCAATGATATAATCAACAAAGTCACAGATGACATAGTACGTATGAAAGTCATAAAACGCCTGACCAAGTTAAAATACCAAATTTAATGGACGGAGAGAAAGTAGACTCCTTAGGGGTGTAGTAAGAGATTCTAGAAACCATCCAAATCGGGTAAAGATAGATGATACCTAATATAAATGGGCAACCTTCTAAAGTAAGTTCACAACTAATAACTCAGCCGTCTTTGTGACATCTGTTATCATTTGTTGGGTTGTGGAACCTAGTAGTTTTGGAGTTCTGTCAGAGACCTGACTACCCGCCAGTCAGAGACTATCCTCACTGTTTTGTCTCTAGGCCTCTAGTTCAACTAGGACCGTCTTTTTTCACTATTTTTTTAACGTTATGTCAGGCTTTGTGCAAACGTCAGTATAACCCCATTTCCTAGAGTAAATTGACAGGAGATTTATTTGTTTCTTAGACCCTAAGAAGTCTATATGACAGGAGGTCAACATTTTTATCTATCCTTTTACCTATTACCATTAGTTTTTTTATATGAGCTAACCAAATTATATGACAATGTTGCGAATAAGTACCCTGATTTATTTTCAAGTTATGAACGTGTCTAGTCGAAATAATTGAAGTTAAAGTTATACTTTTGATGTTATGAATTCACTAAAGTAAAGTAACTTTACAATAAATATGAAAGTTATTGTATTTTTTGATATACTTGAGCCTTTGTCATATGTAGCTTTAGAGTTATTGTTTACCTTGACTCTCAAGTCTTCGAAAACATTAATCTTCAGTAAATTAATGAAAGATCTGAAGAACTTCAGTACCAGAAAGCAAGGAAAGACTGAGTGGATGGTAATCTAATTTCATAGGGATCCTTGACGAGTGAATTACCTCGTTAGACAATTTTTGTCCAGATTCTATTCTTAAGTTATATGAATGATATACCGTGGTCTTTTCCATTGTTCTTAAATGGTGTTAAAATACAAGGGACTGTACAAATGAGGGATGATAAGACATGGTTACGGGCCTATCAAACGCCTTTATTGATTTGATGAGTCAATGGTGAGTAATAACAAGTGTTGTGCAAGTTGATCACAGTGATCCTCACTATTGCACAATAAGTAGAACATCTTAACCTAAGATTAACGTTTGTGAGGATTCAGTAGTCGATAAAATGTACAATTCATTATGCATAATTCACATATACGTAAACTGTAATAAGTTCATATGTAAGTCTTACAGTTGTTACTATCGTTGCATTGTTTTAGAATGCTTCACATAACATCACACGTTTCAAAGTCATCTTCAATGTAGCTTACCAAATAAGACATTCTCATGATGCTAATGTTTGTAATATGACTAGGGAAACTAACATATCGAATCTAATTCGTAGGACAATAATACCACTTTCGCGTTTTCCCTCTAATTTCCATTTTTATTTAGGTGCTCGTGTTATTACTAGCCTTGCATGATGATTCTTCTCACTGGATGGGATCTCGTTCCATACTCCAACCTTTTAGAAGTCCAGAAAGAGGTGTTCGAATATTTTGCAGACTTGAGATGTATTGCAAAACCATCGAATCCGCATTGTAAATCTAATGATGTGCCTGATATTGATCTCATATGTACATGGTAAGATTTGTTACATTAATTAGAAGCGTGTAGTTTTATCAAACCAGAATATGGTATCGCAGCCACTGATGTTAAACTTTTTAAAGAGCTTCTATTAAAAATAAGTTCAGTAGATGTAAATAAATCTGGCCACTCAAAGAAAAGAGAAATGAATAGACTTCAAGTATGTATATATACAAAAAATTATGTGGATTTATTTGTGAAGAAATTGCATTCACTTATTTTGCAGGCTCAAATTTCGGTTCAAAGACAGTTAGAGTTAGCCAATCCTTGTTCACACAATGGTTTAACATTGACAAATGAAAAACAGCTGATGGAATTACAAGCAAAAGAACAAACTTTTCATATAAATACACTACCTAGCTTCTACAAATTTAGGGGCATTACTAAAAGTGTTACAAACTTCAGTACAATAACATTTACGTTTATTGATTTTCTTCAACGAGATGTAAGTTGTTAGATATTTCAATTTCGTATTGTAATCCCTAAATAGTCTTTTATTTATAAGGTACCTTCAATTGAAATGCTCTCTATGAATAAACAAATCGATACGGCTTATTATTTTGAAAAGGTAAGTCTTTTAATAACTTCAGAAATTTCCGATATCAGTTCTGTACTCTTGTTTGTATTGTGCTGAGTGTTTTGAGCACACGCGGAGAAAGGCAGTAACCTGGGAGGCCGGTAAAAGTTAAACAACTGGTTTCTATAAATTGTCTACATAATGTTTATGTCATCATACATTCGGTTTTTTATTTTGAAATAGAGCCTATTTTGATGTGAGATGTTAGTTGAAGTGGGTTTAGTAAAGCTAAACAGGCTTCTTAATCTTTCCTTTATTGTCGTTGCAATGTCGTCACCTTTAAATTCAAGTTGAATGAAAATAGGTTTCTTGTTTGCTGTGGCTTCTTTAGGCGTTTTGTCTTTTCCCATATTTTTCAATAAATTTCTTTGGATACCCCTGTCTAAGGAGCATTAGGTACCTAAAGTTTATTGAGAAATAATGGAAAAGACAAAACGCCTAAAGAAGCCATGGCAGAAAAAAGACCTATTTACATTCAACATGATTTTAAAGGTGACGACGTTACGATGACAACAAACAAGATTAAAAAGCACACTGACCAGAAGTTATCCTTCAGCTAAACTGATTATTTCGTACAAAACCGTGTAGTCCTTACTCCAATCCAAGATCGATAGGTACCACTCACATGTTACCGCCAACTGCAAATACAAATTTACATGTACCTGCCAGAACAGTTACATTGGTAGAATAGTAGGAAGGGCCTGCGTTCGATCCTAAAAATATATTCCAAGAAGTCTCAGGTCAATGGAATTTAAGGCTTTTAGCAGTGCTATCGCTAGACATCTCTGAAATACGGCATCGAGTTGATAGACTGAAATCTTTCAGCATTATTAATCGACAGTCGGATTTTGTTCTCCTTCAATTCGCTGAAGCCATAGCCATCGAACGACTAAACACGGACTTATGTATCCAAAAGGAGATACTCGCAAATCTTCCCTTACCATGGTGAATGTTTCTTCAGTTTATTACATAATACTTGCAATTGTTTTCCCTCCCTTCTGTTTTAATGGTATTACTTTCGAAGTCATAACCTTATTTATTTTTTAACTGACTGATATTAACTGATATCATTCTTAATTGTTATTAATTTATGTTCAACTACTTCGGCTAATTATTTTATCTCTATGATCTTTTGTTACTGTATCTGACGATCCAGGATCTTTCACACATGTTTATTTACGACACCCACTGTATATCTTCACTCACCACCCCACCATTATGTCACATATCCACTTTTACTGTTATGAGTATGTAAACTTTTCAATAATTTCGATTTTAAATATTATATTATAAGCAGCTGATGAGAACCTAACGGAATAAACTGAATTTGTGTTATTCTGTTCAATTCTTTGTTCTTGCTCTATTCAAAGTTTGACAAAATTTAGATTAGGACCTAGAAACTTGGTCATTGGGATGTGCTAACGAGATGGACGTAGCAACTGTATTTGTTAACTGCTGGATACTGTTTCACCTCACTTGAATCACTGGTAAAAAATCCTGGGGTCAGTGAAACAATTTGTGAATTTGATGACATGCCAATAAATTACCCCCAAACGCTGAGAACAAAGTATCTAGGTGGGGTTTAACTAGTTTGTTGTTCCTACGACGTCAGTCGAACTGTTTCATGGTCCCTAATCGGTAACTCGGTATTCACTTGATGAGGCTTGAGATCAGTAACACCCTAACATATGAGGGATAACGTTATGTGCATCAAATAAGTAGAGGAAAATGGTGGTACCACGAGAATATTTGCAGGTACTTAACTGTTTCTGTGTTTACAGTGTAACCTATCATTTAAGGTTAAAATGACCCTTAATATTTCATACTCGTTACTTTAACTACGACGAGTTTTCCAATTTGCAATGTTTTGTTTTGGAGTCAAATGTAGACTTCAATCTTTGAATCTGAATCTACTGGTACGTCACTGTGAAGCATTGTTGTGTTACCTGACTCGTTTGAGTTGTTATGAAGACTTGTCCTTTTTTAACGATGGTATTGATTTATACATGAGCAGATTATTGGTCAGCTAAAAACAAGGAGCTGTATTGACTGGTTAAATTGTCTTTAAATGACGAAAACTGGTAACTGTAGTGTTCGATTGACTCGCTTTACTAGACTGATTTGAGTTTAGGTAAGTGTTAGTTTGTATTCCATATTTACCCCGACCGTTGTTGCTACCTTGACGTGGTGGTCGGGCTTGCCTATCGTGATGAAGCAACCGAGCTATACTGGCTGGAACAACCGTTCCTCAAGGTCCTACCATGTCAGACAGGTCGGTTGAAGAGCGGTAAGACTAAAAGCAACAAACCCAAGGTCCGAAGGCGAAGTCGTACTGCTGACTGTACAGAGGTGTAACAGCAGTAAGGTGTTTCCTTCAGACAACCAGCATGACAGCGATGCTGCCTTCCCACAAGGAGGGGTGGGGTTAGAAAAGGTCGACCCTAAAAATGCACACCTCACCTTACCTCACGGATTTCCGTCTCCGGCGGTAAGGCCCTTTGAAGAACGGAGCTAACACGTCAAAAACCTCCTACGAAAAGGCCGTGCGCGACCGGCCTCAAGCAGTTGTCCCTTGGGCACTGCGGTCACGCTCTCAGGTCACTAAGACCACCTTTAATCCAATTTCCTTTTCAGGTACCTCCAGAAGAACCCTTCCACGGTGTGGGCAACCGGGAAGTGATAACCGCCCTCATACCTCTAACAGCACCCAAGACCACTGTATTCATAATCAACCTCCCTCTTCAATTCCTATTATTCCTCCTACATCGACTTTCAACTTTAAATTTCCTCTCTCGGCTTCCACCTCAAGTGTCACCATAGCCAACGATTCTAGTGCGCAAAACACTGTCCCAGGTCTACTGAAACCTCGCTCCAAACTACACATTGGAGCCTTCAACGTACGCACCCTATGTCAAATCGGTCAGCAGGCTTCCTTGGCTAAAACCCTAGAGTCTCTTTCCATTGATGTATGCTGTGTCTCCGAAACACGCATACAGGATTCCAGTGTGGTTATTCACTTGACCTCACCTCGGCAAAACGGAGAGCCAACAAGATACACCCTTCGTGTATCTGGTGACCCGATGGCAAGTTCTCGTGGACTGGCAGGTGTAGGCATAGCACTAAGCATGAGGGCGGAACAAACACTGCTAGAGTGGATCCCCGTCAACAGTCGTTTATGTGCCGTTCGGCTGAACGGCTACGTAAGAACTCGGAAGGATAGGGACACACGTCGTTGCCTTTTTGTCGTTTCTGCCTACGCTCCCACTGACTGCAGCTCAGATGAAGTGAAAGATGAATTTTACAGAAAGCTGTCCGAACTTCTTCAGAAAGCTAAACGCTCAGACATAGTACTCGTAGCAGGTGATTTTAATGCTCAGATAGGTAGCTTAAACCAAACAGAAAGGCATTTAGGTGGATATTTCAGTGTTCCGACACAGCGAACAGATAATGGTGATCGTCTGCTGCAGCTATGCTCAGACAATCGTTTATTTTTAGCAAACACAAATTTTAAGCATAAGGAGAGACATCGTCTAACATGGCGACCCCCTACACCAAACCAACGATGGACTCAAATAGACCATATTGCCATCAGTCATCGTTGGAGAGGGTCGGTAGAAGATTGTCGCTCATTCTGGAGTACCTGCTTGGACTCCGACCATGCCCTAATACGGGCACGCATCTGCTTGCGCCTCACTGGACGCAAAAAAGCCACATTAAAAAGACCCGTCAGAACTGAGTTGAGTAACGAGAAAATCAAAAGTAGGTTCCAGGAACAACTGAGGTCACACTTAGGTAGTTGTGAAGACGAGGCTGACCCAGATGTTGCTTGGAAGGGCATACAATCAGCTGTGGAAACAGCAGTGACATCTATTAGTGACTTAAACCACAGAGTTGCAAGGAACCAGTGGATTTCTTCAAGGTCTGTCACACTGATGGATTCTCGTAAACTCGTCCCATCAGGTTCTGAACATGATGAAGAGCGAAAACAAATCAGATCTAGGTTAAGAAAAAGTCTAAGGAACGACCGTGAGCAGTGGTGGGTAACGAAAGCAAAAGAGATGGAAAAGGCGGCGACTATAGGGAACACAAGACAGCTTTACAGACTAATAAAAGAAACTGGAATTAATAAGTCAAGTGTAAGTGAGATTATTTCGGAAAAAGATGATACTCTCATCTGCTCCCAGTCCAGGCGTTTAGAACGATGGGCGGAACATTTTAGAGAACAGTTCAGCTGGCCTTCAGCTACTGTACAACTACCCTCTATTCCCAGACAGTGTGAATGGAACATTGAAGTAGGTCCCCCAACTCTTGCTGAAGTTCAAAAGGCTATAGTTAATCTGAAACGAGGAAGGGCAGCTGGTCCAGATGGATTGGCTCCAGAGGTCTTTAAGGATGGTGGCCCAATTTTAGCGATTAGGTTGACTAATATTTTAGCTAAGATCTGGGAATTAGACTTTATCCCATCTGACTGGTCGCAATCACTTATCGTCCCAATATATAAGAAAGGGTCAAAATCATCCTGTGACAACCACAGAGGGATTAGTTTAACAAACATAGTATCTAAAATACTGGCCTCGATAATTATCAAACGCCTAACTAAGACTCGTGAACTACAAACTCGAGAGAACCAAGCTGGCTTTAGACCTGGTCGTGGCTGCATCGACCACATTCCATATTTACAGATGTATGTTACGGATGATTATCTAAGGTAAAAACCTAAATCCATAACTTTATGCTGATTGACTACCAATGCTTGTTCCTTAGAGCAGTCTTACTTTTCAAAGCATTTTGTCATTTTACTGTTTTTGTATGCAATTAAAATGTATTCCATTATAAAAATGTATTCAGCTGTTCGTATTTTTCTTAATCAAAACAGATGCTTCCATTTCCTACTTACGTGTACAAACAAATTCATCATGCAGTTGAATATGTGGTGTTGTTAACTGAAAATGTATTGAATTTTTTATTTCTTTTGAAAGCACTGGTTGGTGTTTATGTACCGTTTGATGTGACTGTTGAAAATTCAGGTAATATGAAGTTAGTTTTTCACCTTTTTTTGTCTTCATAAGAAGTGATTTTTAAAAAAAAGACAGTTATCTCCGCCTACTTTTACCATCCAAACACTTAGCATCTATTTTAAATGCTTCGATATCAGTCTCTTATTCTGATCTGCTTTAATCTGTGTACAACTTCATGTACACGAATGATCTTTCTTTTCAACTTCATAGGGATGGGTAAATTGCATTTATCTCAGGATAGGAGGTCCATTCTAATTTCACTCTGGAAAAATATAAAACTAATCCCAAATTATGAAAAACGAAGCACGTCAAAACAGTATAATTTTCCGTTACATATACCCAACCACCACCTACCTCGATGGGCGACGTTTGTTGATGTTAAAGTGGGTTGGAAGAAAGCTAGGGGGAGCTAAGCCAAGACGTGACATCGGTCTCTGAAGTCCTTAGGTGTCGGTTTGAGCTATTTTGGTAGATGCAAACTACCTTGTTGGAGTCCGTGCGCAAATCATGGTCAGTGATTGGAGAATATATTTCTAAACCTTTGTATGAAAATTCTCAAATTGTGCGAGGGTTTCGATCATTTCCAATGTAGAAAGAAAACATGCTTTCAGGCTTATTTCAAGTTTGTGTATTTTTCAAACCACTTTTATTCTGAACTTGATGATGTGTATTAATTTCATCCTTAATTTAATTTGAATATAAATATTGTGATGATAAAAAATATTTGTAGCTTTGGAGAATAATTTTGTTGAGTTCTTTAATTTGAGTGATTCATTAGAATACAGATATTTAGTATAATTAGAAGCATACACATTTAGGACTAATTCTTTCTCTCTTCTTTGAAGTTGAGAATCATGAAGTATCGTAGTTCTTCTACTTATATTGTTTTCCTTGGTTATTATTTTTGTTACTAGAATGCTAGTTTGTATGTGTGTGTCATCTGTTCTACATGTTACCAAACTCTCGACTGTATTTCATGGTCATTGACTCATACAGATTCGTGTTCTATTATTAGATGATGAATATTCCCATTCCGTTTAGAATTTGGCTAGTCACTGATTCAGTCAGAAGTAGCGGTGGCCCCCTAAGAAAACCACCTGCTTCGGTTTGGGCACCCGGGCAGTATCTCAGCCCTCACACAAATCGAATGATTTGTGTGGCGCATATCTACTTGGTGCCTCCTTGTACTAGAACCCTGAATATACATGCGTCCACCTAACTTCTCACAGCGAAATGAAGCTCTCAGAACAAATACCAAGGTAGTGTGAGTGGTAGTGATATCAATTATAATTATAATATTAGGCAGAGAGAATATGATTCAATAAAGGGGAATAAATTGACGGAATAAAAAGTGTAAGGTTTTTAACGGGACATAGATTGGATTACAGCACATTTCACGCAGGATTTTGTTGGAGCACGCTAACTGATCTATTTTTAGTCAATTGGCCCTAACTGGTAAGTGGAGAAGATTCTAGAATCCTGTGTAAAATTATGTATGTACTGACGTCTTTCTTATTGTAATTCTCTTTCAATCAGCATGGTTTATTTGGGAACATAATTACTTTCTTGTCTAAGCCGTGTTTTTATCCTAGGGACTAGTGGGGTAAAGTGTTCAACGAATACTAAACAACAGGGGAAACTGGGTAGCATAAAAACACTTTATAAAGGTAATTTTGAAACTGAAAATGTAAGGGAAACCGAAGAGTGAATGCATCTGCACTATTTTTATCGATTCTGAGCGACTTCATTTATCTGACCGTTAGACACTGATGAAAGCTTGTACAAATATACACCTCATAAATGTTCAACCAACTGTCTGTCCAGGACCATTAGGATAATAGTTAGATTATAAAATTATGTAACATCCTACCAACCAATGATAGCTAATTTGGCCTAGTGTAGGCATATCTGGTTTTAAAAATATTGTGATGTCTAATTATAGAATATTTATGTATATATATATTCGGCGCACTCCTGTACCAATATATATGTGTTCAAATAAATAAATAAGAACATTTAAAACTATGAAATTGTCCAAAATCCACACTATCTTCTGTTTTGTTATTTCTCCACAGATACATCTTTCAGTCGAAAGACTATCCAGTTTGGAAATATCATATTAACAAGTCCATTTTCTCCAAGAGTTCGCGCTCGTTTGTTTTATGAATCTTTAGTAAAACAACTATGTTTTGAACACATCTCGGGTGATCAAGTGCATATTATTGTTAGTTTAATTCCTGGTTATAATGATTCGTTTTTATTTTAAACGACATTCGTTTCTCTGATTGTTTGTCTGGATTGATGAATGTCTGGAATATACGTATTCAAAATTCATCCCCTTATTTAACCTATTTTATTCCGTTATTCCCTAACCTGAATTAGGTCGATAATTATGTACGAGGATAGCCGAGATGTATATTTCGTTAACATCGTCGTTCGATTAAATTGTAGTAAGACCAGTGGGCCATGAAATATCCCCAAGTTTTTTTATTACTCAAAACCGTATAATACAATTTTTAACTGATAAAATTAACTAAAGATGCGATTGTATAGCTTAAGTAAATGAAACCGTTGCAAAGAAGATTTCACCGAATTTCCTTTATTCTTTTTTAATGATACACTAGGTCTCTTTTGTTATTTAAATAAATAAATGCTAACATTGTGTTTTTATTTCGCTAAAGACTTACCTATATGTAACATTTAGGCTGCATTGACTATTCCTTTTCCCACGTTTTGTCTTTTAGGAGCAATCAAAGTGTGCTCTCACTATAAATACAGTTGTAGAAAAGATTAATATATCTAGTCCACGTACACTTCGATCATCCACTAAAGCTCAGGAATATGATTTATCCGTCAATAAATTGGATCCAACAGAGGTGTTGAGTGATACTGATGATGAATTGAGGATTGATTTAGATGAACGGAATAGTGATGATCATAGGTAGGATACATATGTAATATATATTCATGATTGCGAGTCCTTTTCTCTTGTGGTATTTTGATAGCCTATTTTTATTTTTTAATCCGTTTTAATTATACTACTGACTACTATCAAGTAACACGTCTCGCTACACTTTTCTATAACTTCATTTTACTTTGGGTTTTGCTAATACTGCTTATTTATCAGAATAACGAAAATCTTATACTGTAGTTTTACCCCCCCTCAATGTGCTTGATAATAACATTTTTTCAACTTAGTACAACTATGTTTTCAGTGTAAATATTTTGGGGTTTGATTCCAGTTTTTGTATTCTATTTACCACACTTTCAACAGTACAATTTCCATGTTCCGGTTTATATTTTTTTACACCACCTTCAAAATTCTGTAAACTAGTATTTGACTGGTAAATCTAGTACACTATACCATATTATATTCGAACCTTGTGGATCCTATGAAATAAAATGTACTACTGTTATTTTTCAAGTGTATATATGCAATATGTAGTTTTATGAAGAATAAAAGGCTAGAGGCGAAGAATTTGGTATGGATAAAAGCAAGATAATAGTGGTTATTATTTACATATGATTTTGTAGTTTTGAACCAAAGTTCATATTTTATTCTGATGTTTGAAAGTATAATGAATTTATTGACTATGCGCTTGTAATTCACAAACATTATTCTTATTCATTCAATATGTTAATATATTTCAAAAAACAGTAAGAAATATATACCTTATGCTTTTTATGTTTTATAATTTGTGTTTCGGCTCACTTATCAAGTAATTATTATTGTTTAATTTTATTATCTTTTTTCAGTTCTAAACAGTTTAGTTCATCGATTTGCGATCCTGGAAACGTAGCTAGTTTTTGTACAGTTGTTGAAAAATCCACTAATAAACAACAAGAAAATACAAATAGCCTTTCTGTCATCAACTTTTCCAGTACACCAGCTTCACCAACTGATGAGACACCTAAAAGTCCGTGTTTTAATCAAATCATAGAATCAGAGTCTATTATTCATTCTCCTAGTAGGTTTTATATATATTTAACTTTGTCTTCCTGCTATTACCCAAAATTTCTTAGCAATTATTCTACTTTGATTAATTCAACTAAAAAATTGATATTTACATGTATCATTATTGTTATGGATAACCTCTATAAGTAATTAATGTCGTAAAATAGTTTATAACATTTTATCTCAACAGTTTTCAATAGTATATATATTCAGTAGAAATTAAATGAAACTAAATGGCATCCTAAACTCTTAGCTGTTACTCTTAAAGAAATTTATCACCTGAATTTAGAATTCATGGTTGATATTTTTACTGATCTTTAAAAATCACTTGTCAATATCCTTGACAACGATATCGTTTTTAGTTAAACTATGAGAATCAAATTCTCCTGGAGACTTTTTCTTTAATGATGTATGAAGAAAAAGGAATAATATTTTTTGACATTTTTTAACTGCCTGTAATATTTTTCTTCTGATAAATCAAAGCTTATCGGTTGTATTCACAGCATAAAATTTACAAGTGAGTTTTCAAACACCGGTTATTTTTATTAGTCAGATAATCAAGGGAGAATATTAACAGCTCATTAGTTCAACCAGATCTTTGTTCAGAAGCACTTGACTCTTTTTATGTAGAGGTAGTTTTTACACTGCTCAGTCGCCCATCACTCATAACCCTTAAATTGTTCTGTGTGTAATCATATGACACATGTATTAATTTTATCACGGTCGCATTAGTAATGAGTTCACTGTTATAGTCGTACTTCTTGGCACCCTTAATACGGCTACTTTTTAGTGAATTGAATATAAACTTTCGGTGAAAAAATGCTTTAGTTTGACTCCATCCTACAGTACATTCTTAATATCCCGTAATGTCTAGTATGTGATTTAACAACATCATTCTATCACTGGTGATTTGATTAATTTTTTCGTTCCTAATCTTCATTCGTTTTGTTTGTTAGAGTAATTAATGTGATTCAATCCGTATTCAAGAGTTTAGTGAAGGTAGATAATCTCCCCTCCTTACTCTTGCTCCAAATATCCTCGTTAGGTTTCTCAAGTTTGTAAACAGAAGTATGGCATTATAGCTTATGTCAGTTTGTGATAAAGACCCCAATCCTAATTTTTAAACCTAACTCAAAACTCCATTTTAACTCTTAATACCGAACCTTATGCGTTTTGCATCATGGCTGATATCAGCTGGTGACAAAACCACTACGGGATTCCATCCCGAACTCACAACACTAGCCTGACTTCTCATATCTAAATTTAACCTTTTTCCTCTACGACAAGGTATAATTGGATGTGTAAGGGTTAATTATTCAGATCAAAGGTGTTATTTCATTACTCTGTACTGTTGATTATTTTACAAGGTGGTGCTTCCTGATTGGCTGATAAGTCACCCAAGGTCATCAGCATAATATACTTTAACCAAATTTATATTATTGGAAAGAAATTTTCTTTGTATGACTTAATGTGGATGTTTTTTCTTCAGTTAGTTAGTGCCCACTAATAACTGTTATCGTTATATTTCTAGGCAATTGTTTTAAACTTCAAAAGATACTACAATTTTTTGCTTGGACTAGTTATAGTAATAGGATATTAAAATTATGGTGATTAAATCAAAAAGAAGAAAATTCCATGTTATAGATTCTTCACTTATCTATCAATATTGAGTAAAACAGTAATACAAGCATACTGATGTCATTGTAGCTACTATATTAGTTAATTTTTTACAATGACCATCCAGTTGGTACAGTACTGTAATTACTTGTTGCTATAGTTGGATAAGTTAATAAATTAATTGTTAACTGATAGGAAAATACTTAGTGGTGGAATTCTAACTTTCTTGCTTCACATTACATCATACTATTGAGTAAAAATAGATAAATTTGAAGCAAATCAGTTCATGAAGCATTAAAGTGAACTAGCGTAAGTGGTTAAAAACTGTACTTTATCTGTCCAGTTACTTAGATTTATGATGACTGATAGTCGAAATGGAATTATTGTGGTTAGTTGGGTTTTCAAACAATATTTTTGTATTTCAGACCATTAATTATTTAGTCTCAGAAATACTTATTTTCTCGTTGTTGATATTTTGAACACTGTTGGTTAAGATTCTTAACTAAATCAACTAGAATCAACACAAGTGTCCATTATTTTTTGGAATTATATTCTTCTGAAAACTAATATTTTGTCTAATTTTTGCAAAGAAGATATATCGCAGCCTGTAACAACAATTATTATTCATATTTTAATAAATATGCTTAAAATATATCTTTGTTATTAGTTTGATGCTATTATGTAAATGAATGACACTTTTGATCTTATTCTTAGGTCCACAAATAATTCCTCTTGAGCCTGTCAAAATTACTTGTGAATTATCTCAAGATTTATCACCATTGGAAACAATTAGTCCTTCAAAACGATTAACGTCCAACTCTTCTACATCAAACAAAATAAATAAAACAGAAGTTAATCAGGGTAAGTAATTTTCGTAATTTTAATAACTTACTATTGTTATGGATTTCACCATTTTAAGGCGACAGTTTGCGTAAACTTACTACAGATATGTTTAGATTTCTTTCATAGATGTCTCAAGCAGTGAGCCGTAAACAATGTTAACCTGACATAAATATACATCAGCCAAAGATACAATACACTTAATCAGGGCACCGAGTAAGTAGATTTGATACGACTCAGGTTAACAGTTACTAGCTCTACGGTCTGATATCGTTTCTCGATTTTGGTTACGCCTTGCCTTTTTTTAGCCATCCCATATCTTCATTAGTTTTGCGAGTCAGGAGAAATGCTGTCTTGGTAAATCACCTCAGTTGATGAAGCTTCACAGCCTTAACAGCATCAGACCTAATCGAAAGGTTTTTCACACCGTAAATAGTAGTCAAATTCCATGATGTCCGTGCGGACAATGTACCTTCTAGTATGCTATCGTACTGAAAAGGTATTTCCCGACAGACTAATAATTTAGTCAGTGGAGGTGCGCATCTTGTCCTTCATAAGTTGACGAGCATGCAGACTTCCACATCCCCGTAAGTCTAACGTATCCTGATTGTTACGGTTAATAACCTTTTTAGAGACACCCTTGGCCAATTTGTAATAACTTGTGTGGAACTAGTAGCTACTTTGCAGAAACGAATGAAATGCACGACGTACAATAAGACACTTTCGAAGAAACTCTAAAATTATTTCGATCAGGTTTGATGTCTCTCTGGCTACAAATCCGAAAACTTCCGGCATAGGAGCATCAAATGATACTAACTGATGGATTGAGGTTTCTTCCTTGTTACATTTATGGGTACCGTCACTTCCTACAATATCCGTAAAACGGCATGCTATTTTCTTCTGATCTGGTGTGAGGAAGAAATAGCACTGCAGTAGGAAGTTTTCATTTAAAAAAAATGATGCTAGTCATAACATAGTATTATACTCTTTATTATCTTGAGCTTAAAATATTGAATTTTATATTAGGTTTTAAATAAATCCAATATACTGTTTGAAGTTGATATCCATACGTATATTAATCTTGTTCTCTTAAATGTCTAGATCGCTGTCTATCGGTTAAATCAAGACCGAATTCTAAAAATGATGAAAATTTTCATGTTATTCGAGTATTTTGTGATTTCATGAATGTTTTTTGTCAAATTAGTGTCTACTTGTAAAATCAACCATTGTTATTCAAATCTATAAAGTAGGAGTCAACACAATTTGTCACTACTTGATACTACTATGATTTAGAAAGCTCAAAATACAAAAAAATTTAAAAGGAACGATTTTATGTGATTCGAATATGTGAAGGCATATACGCAGAAACCATGTTTACAATTTACGATGGGTGGCAGTGATTTCAAGTCATTTCGCTTACTCTTGTTGTCTATTTGTCATCTTGACCAATTTCATCTTTTTCTGTAACCAAATCTGGGACTACTACTCGGAAAGCTAAATCAAAAAGATTGCTTGCGTTACTCTATTACTTGGTGATAATTTAGTACCATTTTGTTAATTCATTAAATATAGGACCTATTCTAGCGATTGAGTTTTTGTGTGATCACTAAATTAAGTGACTTGACGTTGTGATCCACTTTTTTTTATAATAGATGTAATGGACTAGATAGAATTCTATACAAGGCAATAAGTAAACAATGATAACTGCTGCCCACTAATCGACTAGTATAGTCGATCCATCATTGTGTGAATAGCATTCCTTCTTACTACACTGGGTACACAGGTTTCGGTTTGTTTATTTTTGTAGTTACACGCTGCTGACAAGCAGCAGTATTTAATTCTTCTGTCTCTACATTTTAGATTAATAATCTTGTGTCACAATTGTTACCACTGTCTTGGAATACTCAGAAGTTTTAAATTCTTATCTGAGCCTGTCAGTTATCAATAAGAAGTTATAATTAATGTTCATGTGATATATGGGGGCCGTTTGCGAACGGTTTATTCAAGAGCTATGAACTCGCATCTTACCCCTATTGATTTATCTTCAGTCTGAAGCAAATTTATTGTCCTTCGGGTCTATGAAATCAACCAACTTAGTTCCTCAATTACATTTAATTACAATTGAACTAACGAAATCAGTTTTTCATTTACAGGATTGAACTATTTGACAATCCTGAAAATAAAGTATGTTGTGCTCTGTGTACCTCAAACTAATTGACGATGTATTGATTAGTTGGACGACAAATATTCTCAGAAAGGTTTTTATGCATTAAACTATCTTAATATATGATATGCTTATGAATGTGTTTTATTTTTTACTAGTTTATCTTATCACCACGATTTTTGTGTTTTCCTTTTAGAATCAAACAAAAACTCAGTTAAGGCGTATTCATATTCCTCTTTAAAATTAGGAAATAAAAATTTGTTAGTTCAATTCTTCGATACAATATGGTCGAATAATGAAAGTTGTCAAGCTTGCAAAACGTCATCTTCTGATGGGCAATGCCCACTTTGGCCTTCATGTAACACGCGGAATCGAACAAACAGCATAGTGGATGATGAGTCTAAAAAAAATAATGTGAAGGTATGCAGTAAACATTCTTCTTTTAAAAGTTGTAATTAAGGTAATGTCTCAGTAAAGGCAAATGATATTATGCTCATACGGTGTTCACCACTTTTTACGTCATTATTTGTATGATACTTCTAAGTTTGTGTAAATATGATACTGAATGGATTACACTCAGAAGATGATCCACTTTCATGGAATGAACCTTGAATAATTTATTTTAAACTCATACAGCTACTATGTATAATTGTATTTACGGCATCTAAAAATTGTGTAGTTAATTAATACCAAGATATAAGTAAATCAGTAGGCTGAAAATAACCTAAAATGCAGTGGAATTGAAGTGCACATAATGTGAAGTTGTTAACTAGAAAAATGTTAAATTCGAAATTATAAATAAGCAAATTAAAAAAATTTAAACTTAATAATCCACAATATGGCTGTAAATTGTAAATTCACTTTTATGTCCTAATTATCACCAAGTTTTGTTGAGTTATAATAAATATTCATAAAGAAATTAAATTCGATAGACAAGGTAAAACCGAATAAAACACACTTGATATTTTCTATTAGCTTACATACTAGGTTTAGATTCATATACTTGGTTTGAATCACATAGTATAAGGGCTAATGGTACCATCCAGTTTCCTAAACAGAAGTGGAAAAGGTGTTCGAACCTTCGACTTAGCGGCTGAATGTTCGAATCTCCAATCACTGGGCTACTGGTTCTCATACATCATCCGAAGTTTTTCCTTCATATGATTGTCGTAAGTTTGGTTGCATTGTTTGTCCTTCTTACCTCCCAATTGTATTATGATTTATGGTAAATGGAGCCACTAACTTTGATAGTTCATTTGTCGTTTTTATTTTTTTATTTTTCGGTTGTCTATAGCATTTTAGAGTTTACAATAAACTTCGTTGTTATTAAGTTCTAATTTTTATAAGTATAGGCCTGAATGATAGCTAAGCAACATGTATATCAAGTCAAAGGATTATTGTCTCGAAAGTTAACTTACTGTATTTCGTCTAATATGTGTGCGCGTCCGTGTCGGGTAGAGACAAGAATCTACCTCAGTACAATGGAAAATGGTCGCACGATTTTGTGGTTTCGTTGAGGCTAGACATTAACGCCGTTGGATGCCGGCTCGGTGGTTTAGAGGTTAAGCGTTCGCGCACGAGACTGAAGGTCCCGCGAGCGGGATCGTGGATGAGCACTGTTCAGGAGTCCCACAATAGGATGAAACGGTCGTCCAGTGCTTCCAGGTTTTCAATGGTGGTCTAACATCAATCGGTTCATGACCTCAATCAAAAACCTAATAATCTCCACAATCCCATACTGATAATATGTGATGATTGGGAAATTTCTGAGAGAAATTGGTCATTCACAAAAACTTACTAACAAATATTTTTGGCATGTGATAAAGTGTTAACCAGCAAATTTCAGTGCACACTAAACACGAATTATAAGTATTATTTTGATTTAAAATATATGTTTTGTTTCCAATTTGTTAGATGGTTTCGTCTGATTTATGAATCATATATTCGCACAAAGTAAAGATACTTTATGTGCTTGTTTCCGCCCTTTGATGTATTGTACTCTTGTGACTTATATAAATCCTAATCAATAGACTGATTTCGAAAGCTTCCTCCAATTCATTCTGACGACATTTTATTATGTTACGGTACGATTCAGTAATCGCACTTAATCAGTCAAGGTTAGAGATACTTCACTGGTTGATTTAGCTTGAGTACTCCATCATTTGTGGCTTACTGATCAAAAAATGAATATGTAGTTTTATCGCGGGTGTGGAAATTTTGGATACAGTTTATCAGGAAGAAAATCACTATTGATTCAAAGTGAATTTAAAGTGGATTTTCAACATGCTTTACATCACATAAATTTTTTCTTATAAAAGCTTGTGAATTAAGGCAGTATCGAGGCATACGCACAGTATGGACATATGCCAATAACAGACTGATCAATTACAGTCTTAAACCTCAATAGGAAGATACAAGCAAAACAATACCAAGTGAATTTAAATTCACCCCATCGCACAAGCAAGTGGCTATCAGGACTCAGTAGCCGAGTGAACAACGCGATGGCGTTCGAACCGAATGATACTGGGTTCGAGTCACAGAGTAAACATCAACTCTGAGTTGCAGGTACATCCAGCTGACTATTCCTAAATTGGATGAAGTGTGCATCCTGGATTCCACTGGTAGCCACTATTAATCTTTGCTTATAAATCTTTTTGTTTATCATTTTTTGTCTCCTTTAATGCGAATAAGTTTTATAGTTCCTATAATTAAGTTATTCCTCATGTTTTCTGCGATTTTTATTTATTTATTTTGTCATATTTTATAGCCTATTTGTGTTCAAATCAAGCCGGAGTATTTAGGTGATTGGGGCTGTGAAATGCTTGAAAATCAAGAATTGGAACTTTCTTGGTTGGGTTCATTTATAAGAAATAACTCAGATATTTTAAGAAGTGAGTACAATCATTGTGGTATTATGTACATGTATATGCATACATCAAGTTGGTGAGCCCCAAATATTATGACACGCTCATCATTCCATTTCACTGCTAACCATAATCCAAAGTTATTAAGTAATGATTTGTTGTTGATATTTTATTATGGTTCTGACCTAATCCTCAGTTTTACTGACTATTTAGTGGTATCATATGAAAATACCCCAAATGCCCTGGTATGACCAAGGGTGGGGATAGTCTGCTCTTCATCTCGAAATGCTCTTATATGGCCACGCGCATAATGTAGCCATTGTCAAAAAAGGTTCTACTCACTGCCTTCTCACGGCGGCGGTGTTATTTACGAAATCAAGAGGACAAAAAGGGAATTTTCGGGGCCTAAACTGGGATTGTGCGTACGAGAACCTACCAAAAGAATTCGGAAAATTCTGTTTCCAAACCACTGGCACTCTTGGGCGCCAGGATCCTAAGTGGACAAATGGCGTATGAACGTATCCTTGTTCAACGGCTACCATGGGACTTCATCTCCTAAAGTTGCTTTACTCCCTTATGGATTAGACCTCAAGGTCAGAGGCTCGAGGTGTGGTCCCTCAAAAAAATCACCTTCGCTTCTGGCACCCAGCCAACACACAAATTCAGTTATTTACATGGCGCCTGTGTAATTTCGTGCCCCTTTGTACCAATAATCGTGTGTCTAAATAAATAAATAAAAGTATTGAAAAGAATTGTGTCGACTTTTTCATTCTTTGTTTCATAATTTAGAATACAGCAATGACGCAGTGATGCGTCTTTATTTTCTCTCTCCATATTTCCTTCATTTGTTTTTATATGTTTTACTGGACACTACTTAATGATTCTCAGTAGGTTGAGAATGCTCAATCATTTTTATACTGTAGCGCATAGAGATAACAGGCTTTTCTAGTCCTCTCTTATGTGGTCTGGCTAGATAAGTCTTATTTCTATTTTTTCCAATTTTTAGCAGTATTTCTTGCTCTCAGTTTCTAGTCTTCTTAGTTTGTAACAATCTTTTTTGAACTACTTGATATTACCTCTTGATGTAACTATGTTATTTCTTAATTTTTAATACACTTTATATTTCTGGCTTAATGAAATTATTTGATGGAACTTTCCATTTGACTGTGGTTCTGGTGAGATATTTAATACAAGACTATCTCCAAACAAACTGATGTGAGTCCTACAACTTAATGAGGTTGAAAACTGTTATAAGTAATCTAGAGCGATAGAGAGCATCAGGGCCTGATGGACTTATTCCTGAAATTTTTAAGGATGATCCAGTTTTAGGGGTTGAGTGCTGTTAGAGGTATGAGAGCAGTTATCACTTCCCGGTTATCCACACCATGGAAGGGTTCTTCTGGAGGTACCTAAAAAGGAAATTGTGTAAGGGGCGGTCTTACTAACCTGAGAACGTGGCCTCAGCACACAAGGGTCAACTGCTTGAGGTCGGTCACACAAGACCTATTGTGAGCAATTTTCGTGTTGGCTCCGTACTTATTGGAACCTTACCGCTCGAGACGGATATCCGTAGGATAAGGTGGGGTGTGCATTTTTAGGGTTGACCTTTTCTAACACAACCCCTTCTTGTGGGAAGGCAGCATCGCTGTTATGCTGGATGACTGAAGAAAACACCTTACTATCGTCACACTCCTGTACAGTCAGCAGCACGACCTCACCTTTGGACCTTGAGCTCACTGTTTTTAATCTTATCGCTCTTCAATCGACCTGTCTGGTATGGTAGGACCTTGAGGGACGATTGTTCCAGCCAGTATAGCTCGATTGGTTCATCATGATAGGCAAGCCCGTCCACCACAGTTGGCTTTTGCCAACTTGCGTCACTTACGGCGTAGGCGAGATATCCGTCTTCTAACCAAAATGCGAATTTACTGCACGACAGTTCAGTCCGTCCTACCTTATGGATGTGAAACACGGCCATTAAGAGTAGAGGATATTCGTAGCTCACTGGTATTCGACCGTAGGTGTCTTTGGAGAATCGCTCGTGTATTTTGGGACTACGAATTAAGTATTGCATGGGTTAGGAATAAATTACTAGGTAAGTATAGCAAATCAATGGGTGAGGTAGTAAATTTTATCAACTGAGATGGTTGGGGCATGTGTAACGTATACCCAACCACCGCCTACCTCGACGGGTGATGTTTTTTGGTGTAGGAGTAGGCTGAAAGGAAAATATGAGCGACCAAACCAAAACATGACACTAGCCCATAAAATTACTAATGGTTGAATATTTTAACAGATATAGACTACATGGTTGAAATTTGTATAATTGTCGTAGCCAATGGTTAAAGACATTGGATGACAAGGCTCACAATCGTTTACAATGGCTCAAATGCATCCATTTATCTTCCCCAAATTCTAATATTGTAAATTCCTCATAACAATTTGTGCTTTTATTTCATCAATTTATTACTATGTTTGAAGCGATCACGAGTTCACCTAGTCTGCGAACGGAACAAAGACTCAGTGACTAAAGACCAATAAGCTAGCTATTCTGAAGCGTCCCATCCCCGCTAACTAGAGAGGGCGAAGTCCAAGTTCAAAACGGGGAAATATATTTCGCAAGCAGCCAGAAGCACGAGCAATCGCGACAAGTCTAGTCGGAAATACACTCATTTAAATATTGATTTATTCACCCATTTTTTATTAATAATCAGAATAAATCACATACATGGAAAATACTTCATACAAGAATATCGTATGTTATGAATAAAAATCAATCTAATTTTTACTTTTCATCCCGTCATAACATTGATATTTATCCAAATCGTATATCCGTTGCCTATTAAGGCTGATACTAATATAAGACGCAACAATAGTCAGGTGGTATGTTTCTTTAGTGCGGAAAGTTACAAAGTATTTACATTATATATATATATATATATATTTCAGCCGTCCATTTGCAATCTAAACTGGCCTTCAAGTGTTCTTTCAACACCGTGCTTTCGGTGGACTGAAACTCTCCCCTGTATTCGACAATTATTGTAACCTCGACACCACGTTCACCTACACACTACTTACAAACATTCTTATGAGTAGCGTTCACTGCTCTGTTACTACCTTTAATATTTTAATATTTGGCCGAATAGCTTCATTTCTTGTGCTAGTGGGGTATAACAATTTGAACAGATGTATATTCGTACCAAGTTCTACTTTGTGACAGACTGATTGATTTAATGGCAGTATACTGCATAACTTGAGATTTGATCATTTTTAGTATTTTTTTCCCTTATTAAAGATTATCATATTTTCAAATATATCCAGTTCCTTGATTTTAAATGCTCCACATACGACTTATTCATTGAATTTTAGTCGTAAAATTATAATTTGCCTTATTATTAATAATACAATATGAAAATTTTTAAGTTCAACATTTATGTTTCGCTTATGAAAATGTTCTGGTACAACTAGCTAACTGATCACTGTTTTTGTATTGTCTTTTATTGTTTCCCTCGAAATTACTCGAACTTTCTTTGAATGTTTAAGACATTGAATCGCCTCTTTTCTAAAACATCTGTTTATGTATATATATATTAGTAAGATGTTATTATATAATTATCGTTCTGTTGTAACATTGGTTGACTTAAATGGGTATGTTTTTTAGGACATTTTTAATTGAACTTTTTTTTAGTACAAAATTGATATAGTCTTAGTTACTTTTCTAATTATATTTTAAAATTCAACGAACGACCTTATAGAAAAAGAGCCTGGATATTTCTCCAAACGGTTTTTTTTCCTAAAACAATCTATATTTTCGTCATTATAACCTAATTATTCATTTATAAGCTATCACTTATTAAGGTTAAAAAGACTACTGATAAATATATATATATATATATTCTTTCTATTTTCATCAGTTCGTTTGTATCCAAACTCTGGGAAAATTATCTTGATAGAATATCAATCTATGGAAGAAATGTTGAAGACATATCCTCATTTTAAGTAAGCACAAAGTTTATTATTTTTCTTTTGAGTTCATATCTCTAATTCACAACACAATTATTATGTTATTTATGTTTTGCGTATCTGATGAATTTTAAAATATTTCCTTTTGAATATTTATTCGTTTGATTTATTAAGGTCGATTGTACAAATTTGTTATTCATTTATGAGTTAGTATATTTACATAAAACCATAATATTTCATGTGTACATATGTGTCGTATTCTGATATATATATCATTTAACAACTGACAATAAGAAATTCTAGTTAAAGAATCCTAATTAATACAAACGTAATGATATAAGTGAATGAATTTGGGTATTTTGGGAAATGTAAATTAATATGCATTTTGTTTATTTCTTTGTAATTATTATTCGTCAATACAGAGAATTTATGTATTTAATCTACGTGTCAAGTTGTATTCAGTTCATTCAATATTTCCTTCTACAAGAAATGAAACTATCACAATATTCGAAATTTGATCTAAAATTTTATACCAGCTTGTCAAGATATATTGGCTTATTATGTTTATGAGTGTCGTCGTCTAAATTACTGAGACTTGTGTTTTAGATGTTAACTGTCATTTCTGAATAACTTTATTTTGTAGAATTTGGAGTCGAGTTACATAAGTTTATTGTGTTTTCTTAACAAATAGCCAATCGAATAACAATTCTTTGTTGATCATTGACTTGCTTTAGAATAATTTCTTGTATTTGTGATTTCGAGGACATGATCTTTAATACTGGCAAAGTCGAACATGAAAACGTAATTATAGATGATATTGAGTAATAGTTGTATTATATCCCTTATCATTTTAATAAATATATACCATCATAATTGAAAAAAATGAAAATCTTAGGTCCATTTTCTATAAATTAGTGAATGTTTGATAGACAGTCTTAAATAAAGTGGAATATCTAAGAATATTGTGTTTTCAGTGACTCTATAACTGATATTTGTGTATTATAAAAGTTGTCATCCCATTTTTGGATTTATTGTGCACTAAACTTTCCTTGTAAAAGTAGCATAGGTAATCCATGGTATCAACATGAAATGATCTTTGTACGACGACTTCATAAGTTAAGGGCTAATAATGTAGATAGATTTTTTAAAGTGTCAAGTTGTTTGATCTCTCTTCCGTACATTATACTTTCTTCATTATGACTGTTATATTGCAAAAAAATTTTCTGTCAACTAACCATCATTTTCCTTATAAACCCATTAAGTATATTTTTCTATTTACTGCCTCGATGTTACTTTCTTCCTAAACCTTATCATATTCTCACTATCCTTTTTCCACTGATACCTCAATGATATCTGAACTTAAAGTGAATCGCCGGCGAAATTTAATTTGTTTATTAGTCCTCATTATTAAAACTATAATTATATCCAGTGAAACATTCAATCCGTTGCTATTTGACTGGTCTTCCCGGTCTTCCACATTGTTCGGACATCCCATGTACCTATTAAAATTGTTGCTCTGGTTGTTAGAAGGGTCATCGGCCTCGTGGCTTCTGAAGGAACTCGGCTTTCACCATGAGACGTCATAATTCTTCTAAATGGAGACCTTCTAACTCCCAGGACAGAGTTTAAATGGTTTGAATTATTTTTTCTGGTTAGCGTTTTTTTGTCGAGTTAGTTTTCTACGGGATGGTGTCGCTAACCCCATGCCCAACCCTCTTCCTTTACCCGGACTTGGGACCGACAGTAACTCTAGAAGAGCTACAGGCGGAGTTGCTAAATTCAGAAATTCATGTACGGGTCGTTTTAGATCTTAATAGAACAAGCTTTTCAGTTCCCGACTTTCGACTTGGTCAAGATAAAATTCACATAATTTCACATGTGTATAATTGCAATTTCTCGAAAGACAGCATAACATCACAAGTTGGCTGAAGTTCATACTTCAAAAGCTAAAGCACATTTATAGCATAGTGAATTTACTTTGAAGTTAATTCTAACTGAAAATAAATTTATTACACACTACTGAAAAGAAGTATTAAATCAAATCAATTGTTTAGGAAACTTTAAATTTTTCAGTTTAATAATAGTAATAGTCAATATCTCAGTGTGTTATATTTTGCTTTGAGTATATCCTATTTCTAGTTCACAGTTTTTGTTAGATAATTTATCAAATTGACATTACTTTTCAATTTGTTCATTCTCTATTATTACTATTATTATTATTATTATTATTATTATTATTATTATTATTGTTTATTTATTTTCAGACCACAAGATAATGTAAACAGATTATCTGGATTACTGGATCAACTTTTTAAGTAGGTGAACTACTTTGATTATTGGCTTTTGATCGTCCTACTTTTTTATTATTTGAAGTGTATTTATGATCTTCAAGTGTATGATATACCTTTTCTGTTCATTCAACTGTTTGGGTTGTGGATTATATATATATATATATATAAATAGGCTTTTCACGTATTTTCTATCACTGTGATTGTGTTTCTTTTTCACCTGTTTGTAAGTTCACAAGGTTTTAAATTATCGCATATATTCAGTTAGCTTACATCGACTGAAATGCTTGTTCAATGGGTTTATGGTCCACTCATAATTCGACTAGTCAAAAAGTAAGGCTTCGAAATGTTTATTTACTTTCTCAGTGATCCCTCTAATTTTTAAATTTTACTCTCTCTAGCGTGCTAGGTTCTACGTTGTTTTATAATTAGTCGCCTGATTGACTCTTGCTTTGGTAATTTTTATCACCCCAAGATCTCACAAAATCAACTGCGCACAAACCTTATTCAAGAGGGCATGGATACACTGCAACACGCAGCGCGGAAATATGAAGAAAAATATCTAGAAACTATCTTTCAAAAGAACGGCTATCCAATCAGCTCCATCGAAAAATATCAGAACAACACATAAGCAGAAACGAAATGAAGTGCATAAATCAACAAACGAATCATTTTTCCATATATCAAAGACATACCAGAAATTACAACAAGACTAATGAAGCCTTTTGAAATAAGTGTAGCACCCATACCAGCAAAATCACTTCAATCAATCCTTTGCAAACCAAAGGACAAAATGACAAAAGAAAAAAGACCGAACATCATCTACAAAATAAATTGTTCGAACTGCCAAAAAGCACTACATCGAACACAGCGGATGTCCTCTTTATCTTCGCCTGCATGAACATGAATTAACGGTCAAACGCCATGACATATCCTTCCTTATATCAATGGATGTGGACATGCACTTACGTTCGATTGAAAAAACTTTGAGATCTTGGATATAGGGAATTCTAGAAACATCAGAGAATTTTTAGGAGCTTTGCTCTCAGGCCATTCAGCAATTAACAAATATTTTAAAATCGATCCAATTTATCAACCTATCAGAATCAAATCAATGGTAGATACAATCAAAATAAAGAAGTAAACAGTGACTGGTTGAAGGTCAACAATAACCAATCAAGATTAAGGTTTACAGGACAAGCTGTGAGCCATTTGTGAAGAAATTCGGACACTTCACTTCTACCTGAAGTTTGTGCTGACGATGTCGTTCGGAAGAAAGCTCCACAACCAAACCATTCAACACAGAGAACAAAACTCTAGCAAAGACATGATAATAATAATAATAATACAAATAAATAGACAAATTGTTACAGTTCGAATAACACTGTCGGTTAAATAAGTTGATTGAAGGGCTTGACAAAATTATTCATAAACCAACTTAATTGCAGCAGATGTGCTCTAAGATATTGAGGATAAAGAAATCCCACATAGATTAAGCAAAATAATAGTTTTTTTTTCCAAGTTAACTCTTCTTTGTAATTGTACACTAATATAATGTATAATTTTTACTATTGATAGTAGAATAAACCATCAATTATAAAATCAAATTATTTGACAGTATTTATTACATACCTAGTTATTTATGAACGTATATAGAATGATAATATTAATTTGATTAGAAAGATAGACGAATTAAGGCAATTGTATTAGATCTTAAAGTTTGATCATCTGATCAATAAATTGGAACAGATGATTTTCTAAAAAGAAATAATAAATAAATCTTTTTTTTTTAATATACCTTCCAAATGTTATTATTCTATTCATCTTCATTATTGAATTACTTATTTTTAGAAAGAGATAATAATGTATATCAATGAGATAAGTTTTCTTAGTGGAACTTATGAAGTTCCTATCGTATTTCTTCAAAATTGTTAGTAACTATCTCTTGAAATATTTATATATATATATCCATAAATTATTTAACCTTTAAATGATTAAAATTTTTTACTATTGATCTAGTTACATTTTCTCTTTAATATATTTTCATTAGTCATGTAAAACTGTCATTAATATCTTCGGAACTTTGAGTTCTAGACACATATTAATACGTTCATATATTCACTAGTTGTTAATTAGTTGAATTTTGAACAATATCACTGATTTTCATTATAGTTGTTAAATTCAAATATCATAGAAAAAAAAATCAAGCATAATCGTTTTTAATATGGTGATAGTATAAAATGCACTTGCTTATATGAACAAGTAGTAGCTGAATGTGAGATTAAAATTACTTTATACCTTTCTTTCTATGAACTAATTCTTTATATCTGTATCATATCCTTATATGTAATCTTTTTTTTTCATGTATTACTACCATTGTAGTATCTGCTTCTATGAATATGGTGTTCATCTTGTTGTGCTAACGAGGTATAAAAACTTGGAGCGATGCATATATGTGTCTGCTTCTGCGTTGTAGCTAACTGACTGAAAGAATCATTTCACTTGAACCTTATTCAGTTAAAGTTGTTTTTTGTGTTAGGCAAATTTAATTTTATTTATGGTGTATTTCAGTTCGAGTAGTGGCATCTCACACGACAGGAAACTAACAAAATGTGCAGCAGATGAGTGAAAATAATATCAAATAGTGCAAATAATGAATTGAGGATTATAGATATGATTCACAATAAATTAGTTCAGTGAATGAAAGATATGGAATGATACTAAGCTCAAGATTTAAAACAATGTAAAGAATCAATATAACCGTATTGCTATGAGATGTGACACTTTAAACTATTAGATATCTCTGCTTGCTTGAATTTTAGTCTACCATGAACTTATCGGTTCGTAAGGATTTTAAGTATGATATAAAAATTCAGCATAGAAAATTCTACTGTTTGTGTTGCTCCGAAAAATGCTATCGTATATTGACTAACATCTATATATATATACCTTTAGTTATTATCACGAATTGATTTAAAAGTTGAAAATGTTGGCCAGTTGTCGGTAACACAGTATTTTACAGACAGTACTCTCCGCGATGTTCCTATGTTCAATACTTGGTGGGGATGAGTCGTTAATACACACTCATGAAGTAGTCTCATACTATTATGAGAAAGTCTCTCGATGCTCATCGGTTTCTGATCGTTGTCTAGCTGAAATTACTTTGCGATATAAACTGTCTCCCGATTTTAAAGTTTAAAAACTATAGTCGTTGGGATTTCGTGGGTTTATTGACGTGAGGTGTTTTTTTTAGACACAAGTGAAGTTATTAAGCCTATTTTAACCATTGAATATGCATTCTTTGATGATAATAATAATTAGGAAATTGAAAGCATTGGTTTTTTCATCTTAACTTATTAATTTTTTTTTATTTTGTAGGGGATAGATCACCTCTTTTCAGAGTTATTTACCCGTTATCCTAACTTACGTGTTTTATTTTGCTTCCAGTTTACAACCTGGATCCTATTTACTAACACAAACCAAGGTCGCATCCGATAACTCGTTTGATATTTACCAATCTGTTAATGATAATCAATCATTTGAGTAAGTTTTCGCCAATCATACATTATTTGTGAAAATGTTGTCATTTATTTAAGATTTGTTTTATTTCTTTTGAAGAAAAACCTATCATGAATAATGTAGGTGTTTAAAGAAGTCAATTCGTTTGAAATCATACTTTTGCAGTAGTGCCTATGAGATTTTCACTATGAATACTGAATTCTAGATTCTTTGTTATCATTAGATAAAATGTGATTATTGTGAATAAATGATGCACTAGAAGTCTAATCCTGTTATTTATTACATAGATTTAAATTTAGTTGAATAAAACTTTGGGAAACCCTGATTCACATGCGCTCCAGGATCCTGAGGAAAAAAATGGCGTATGAACCTATTCCTGGTCACCGGCTACCATACAACTGCATTTCCTTACGTTGCCCCACTGACTTGTGGATTAGATCTTCAGGTCAAAGGCTCCAGATGTGGTCCCCTAAGTAAAGCTCCTGATTCGGTCTGGTCACAGCCCTAATACAAAGCAATGATAACTGCTATTGGCCTCATTGTTATTGTGTGACGCATATGTATTTGGTGCCCCCTTGTACCATTGTTTTTGTGTTCAGATAAACAGTTTTTCATGTTTAATCATTATTTGAAGTTACATGAATGAGAAATAATAGTATGTGATGATTTATAAATTCTGCGTAATGGTTCTTCAATTCATGTGAATATATATATATATATATATATATATATCGTGCCATTATGTCCCACTACACCTTGTGAATATCTAATGTTAATTGAAGAAATCTGGCTAGCATTATTTCATATTTAGTCAGAGAAAGGAGTAAATTTATATGACTATATATTCACTTTATATCTTGTTACATTTCATCTACCTATTCCTTCATATTCTCTCATTTGCTAATTTTTTCTATCAACTTTTCGTTTTTAATCTGAGTTTATCAACAATATTTAATCAGTGTCATCATCTGGCAACAAGGATTTCTGTGTCTTGTACATATTGTAATAGTGTCAACGCATCGGCTCCCATATTTTGAATTATTTTCCGACTCTGGAAGTAGGTGGGCGATGTATAAAGGTGGTTGGTTTATAACATTACACTGTAGTATGAAAGAAAATTGCTTAGGACTGGGAATTATCAGTCTATTACGACTTTCTGATTGGAGTCTTAGAGCTGATACAACTCATTGGCTTCAGACGTTATGAGTCATGTATCAGAATATTAGCTAGCACCCGTCATGCTATGGTTCCCTGTTACTTTCTCCATAACAGTGAGAGGAACTCTCTCAACTGAAAGAAGTCCTCTTACGCGGAAATGAGTGGTAAAATCCGGAACTCACGTTTCGTCCTATTTCGGGCTCATCTTGATGCGTCTGCACCACATAGTTTATGTTCACTCCGGGCTAACGCGTTAATGTTTAAGACGAGAAGTACTAGGTTTTAATCACTAATTATGACTCAATAGAAATATCGAAGCAATCCGCACAGGATGTACATATGTTCACCTTTTTTATATTATTTTATCATTAATATAATTAATCATTTTTTTGACTGGTTTTTATTATCTAGTATAGATGCTCGTCAAATTAATCTAAATCAAATTTCCGGTCAGTTCTCAACATCTTCAGAAAGATTACTAAATTTGTTAACACTTGGAGATGATAATTTCACTGGAATCACTATTCCAGAAGAAATAGCTAGTACACTTTATTTAGTACGTCGTTTAAAATTGGATTTGGATATTCCTGCTGGTTTTGAAAAAATGCATACTTTACAAAATGTTAAATCAGGGAGAAATTTAAAATTGCCTGGATTAAATCGTATAGATTGTATGGAAAACAGTAGTAAACAGAGTAGTAGTATTAGTGGTAGTAGTGAATTAATAAAAACATCGACATCTGACGAAATCAATAAAACTCGTGTTATGAAAGTAATGACATCGAAGAAAAGGCCGACGTCGAAACGAATGGAGAAAAATAGTACTAAAGGAAGACAACTACCTACTGCTAGTAAAAATGCAAATGATAAACTTCGTGGTAAAAGACGAAGAATTAATTAATTGATTTGTTTATAGATTATTTATTTATGAGCCGGTGTATTTGTATATATATGTATTTTAAATCATGTACATTTCTGAGTTCAAATAAAGAGTAAAGAAACAAGATTAAATTCTAAATTGTTCATTTTTATTTCTTGTGATAAGTTTGTACTGTGAAAGAAAAAAAGACTTACGTCATTCAGTAATGGGATGTAGTGTGTTTTGATTTAAGATACCGGTGATACCATAATTCATGGATGACCTTTGAGCAACGCTAGGTTGACCTTGAAAATGTCCACTTGTCTACTAGGGTTAAATGAGGGTTATAAATTAGTGCGAGGAATTAGGATTTACATTTGAACGCTAGAGTAAGAAATTAGATCCAATGTTTTCATCACGAACTAACGTAAGCTAAAATGATATTTAGCCAGATATGTATATGAATTTTGCGCCAAAATTCAAGACCTGTTATTTTAAAATCGATTGGTTCGTCCATAAATTATAGTCTTGTCAATACTGCGCCACTGTCTAGTTTTAGGTCATGCCTCAACCTCTATGACCATACATTTCGAATATTGCACAGGCTCTAACCAAGAAGTTTTCCAAATTGTATCAGGAGATTATACTTCACTGTTGAAACTTTATCATCGAAAAAGTGCGTTTGTACGACAGATGTTTATTCACACTCATGGGACTATATTTCAGCGCACCTACTTTCGAATAAAATCTAACGTGCTTCCCTTTAGCTTATTTTCATGAGAGATATTTCACCTAATTCAAATTTATCATAATTTATAGCTGGTATGTTTTGTAACAATTTTCTAATCTGAAAGCTAACTGCTTGGTATTTTCAATCATAAGATTAATAATTATGTTTTGTGTTGGTAAGTAAAATAGACGATATTATTAATTCACTTTCGATCTTTATGTATTTTGTGGCATTTAAAGTGTTCAAATTAGATTGAAGTGCTCTGCGATAGTGTGTAACACTCATAACATACAAGCAATCGGTCTGGTGTTTGTTTGTATTCGTGAAAACCTCATTAAGATTTGTCAGGAAATAGATTATACAAAACTACTTATTTTAATTCATTGTATTTTAATTCAAATCAGCCTGGTTTTTATTTCAAATTCACATTAAGCAAAGATTTAATCTTCTAAGGGTAGAAATTCTCACAGTTTAGTTAGTTATGGGATTGTTTTATGATTAATTGAAAACATTATAACTTGGCATGACTAGGTTTCTATCCTGGAAGCACTGGACGGCCGTGTCGTCCCATTATGGGACTCCTCAACAGTGCTTGCTCACTATCCCGCACGCGGGATTCGACCCCGTGGCGTTTGGTTTCGCGTGGACGCTCAAACTGTAGACCATTGAACCGGCATTCAGTGGCGTTTATGTTTAACCTTAACCAGTCCACGGTATTTCTCGGCCATTTTCCATTACCTTTGGCGGGTAACTGCATCACGCCCGGCACGGTTGTACCCGACTGGTCACGGCTTCTCACTAGAATTCTGAGCATTCTCTCTCGAAGTTAGGCACAAGTGAGCACATTGATAATTCTCAGTTTGGAGTTGTGGAGATCGTTAGATTTCCTTGAAATTGCGACTAAGCCAGCATAGTGGTCTAGAGGTTAGGCGTTCGTGCTCAAGACCCAAGGTGTTGGGTTTGAATTCGGTGTGCGGGATCGCGAGTATGCACTACTGATGAGTCCCATACTAGGAGCAACGGCTATCTAGTTTATCAGTGGTGGTATAACATTGATTTCATGATTTATATGAAATTTAACAATCTTCACAACCCCAAACTGAAAACAGTGTAATGATTAGAATATATTTCTCCATTCAATCGGGAAATGTTTTATGACTGAATCGCAACGGTGTAGTAGTTCATTGCCAGCAGATATTACTTGTGACAAAAGTAAAATATCTGTTTTCCTGGGTGGCTTTCCTATAAACACCATCATTTTGAAGGGATGACGTCAGTTTAAGGGTTTTCGAAGCAAGTGACTGCCATATGGAATGATTCTTTGCGAAATCTATAACAGCTGTTTTATAAATACCTTTGTTCGGTAGCACTACATTATTCAAAATAATCATGGAAACCAGTTCATCCTTCAACTTTTTCAGTAGTAATCTTTCCAAACTATTAAGAGAGGATTTGTGCAATCTATAACTGATTTTAGAATTTTCGAATAAACCGCGTAATGTTGATATAACACTCAAAATATTTTATATCATAAAAAGACATTTCCCTTTTTTTCCGGAAGAAACATTTCAGCATTTAGTTGACTGATACGTATTGCGTTGATATATATATATATATATATATCTTTTTTCACGACATAAAACGGTTTATGGACAAATTTTTCAGTGGATCTTGAATAAAAAAAGTCTTTTTAATCACATGATATGAGACAGCTTATTAAGATTAAAAATGTAAATAAACCTGTCGCTACAAATTCAATGTGATCTGTTATTTTGCAAAATAATATTTTATTTTAGTGTTAACAAAAGAAATTAATACAATATGTTTCTTTCCGTTTATCAATTGATTAACATAATCGCCACAATATCTGTGATCATAAAGTTCTGTTATTTCACATATTTATCAAACTATCTTAGAATATATCAAACTAATTCACCGCGAAAATGTGTAGATAAATTTCCTTTAAAGGATAATCATGTCATTGAGCAATTATAGGTAAACTTTAGTTTGAAAGTTATTCCCCGATCTTATCATACATACTCGTTTATTAATTACAGTAAGCATATCATTACTGAGAGAATAAGTTAAGGTCATATTCAATTCTCCTATTATACTGTAAGTAATAATTCGAATTTAAAGTCATGAATTTTGCTACGTCGTTAATTTTCGGACTATTAAGTTATGAAATATTTAGAAACATCCGTCGAAACGTCATGAAAATCATTTAACATTATCTGAATATGAATAGAAATGTTTGAGCAAACTTTTTTTAGAAGAAAGATAAGTCTGATACTTCTATAGTGGAATAATCTTCACTGTTATCGATGAACGATTCCACACGTTTTTTATGTTATGTATGTTTTGTTTAAACTAATGATTCGATTTTATAACTTTGAAAATGATGTTAGTCTAATAAAAACTAGAATAAATTTAAATGAATACAAGAAACAACACTAGTCATTATTTATAAATCCGAACATACGTCATTTCCATACATTATCTTGAAGAGATTTTGTCTGCAACAACTCAGTTGTTTTATCTTAGAACAATGAAACAACTAAAACTTGAAAGGACAGATCCATGAATACACTATGAATAATATTTTTTCTGACATTAATTCATGTTTCTTTTTTTCTGAAATTCGTCTATCAATTAACTGGAATCTAAATGGAAAAAAAATGTCTTCATGAAATCATTAATGTGTTAGAATAATTTACCTATAGATGGATATTCTTGATTGTTTAGTAAAAGACATATGTGAAATAGAGTTGATCAAATCTAATGTAAGATTAGTATTCATTGACAACGCTATTTAGTAATTATGTAACATTATAAATTGATTGATATTAGAAAATATTAACCAGTTAACATCAACGTTATAGTTAAATAACATAAAATTGTTTATTCATAATTAATAAACAAGATGTATAACATTTTATTAAGCTTACAAACATACACTAAATACAGACTTAATAGTGAAGTATTCATTTCATTTAAAATAGATATACTTTACGGTTGATTTATTGCTTAAAATTTTCCTAACAAGAAAAAAAATGATGTGTAAACAACTGAACTAATTGAAAAGTAAACACTTTACTAAATTCGTATCTAATCATGTAAAAAATAAAAATAATCTCTAGTATGGGGATTGTGGAGATTATTACGTTTTTTGATTGAGATCATGAACCGACTGATGTTAGACCACCACCTTCGGAAACCTGGAAGCACTGGACGGCCGTTTCGTCCTATTGTGAGACTCCTCAGCAGTGCGCATCCACAATTCCGCTCACGAGATTCGAACACAGGGCCTTCGGCCTAGCGCGCGAACGCTTAACCAACCGGACCACTGAGCCGGCATCTAATGGTGATAGTGTCTAACATAAACCGATCCACGGAATTGCGTGACCAACTTCCATTGTACTGAGGTAGATACCTGGTCTAACATCAATCGGTTCATGATCGCAATCAAAAACGGAATAATCTCCACAACCCCCATACTAGTAATCAACATATGCTCACTAGTAACTAGCTTTGTGAGGGAATTCTCGGAGTTCTAGTGAGAAGCCGTGATCAGTGGAGCTAATCCATGTAGGGTAGAAACAGGTATCTACCTCAGCACAATGGAAGTTGGTCGCGCAATTCCGTGGATCGGTTTATGTTAGACTATCACCATTAGATGCCGGCTCAGTGGTCCGGTTGGTTAAGCGTTCGCGCGCTAGGCCGAAGGCCCTGTGTTCGAATCTCGTGAGCGGAATTGTGGATGCGCACTGCTGAGGAGTCTCACAATAGGACGAAACGGCCGTCCAGTGCTTCCAGGTTTCCGAAGGTGATGGTCTAACATCAGTCGGTTCATGATCTCAATTAAAAAGAATTTCTCAATAATTTTATTAAGTAGTATCATTAGTTTACTAAAATAAGTAAACATTTAAGCTAATTAATTAACTTATCACCTAAATTGAATAAAATTCACTTAAGAAAAGAAAATTTATATTAATCCTTGAATTATTTCAATATTACTATAATAAGCAAAGGTGGATAGTGGCTAGCAGTGGAGTCCAGGACGCGCGTTTCGTCCTATTTGGGACCCGTCAGCTGGATGTACCTGCATCTCAGAGTTGATGTTCAATCTGAGACTCAAACCAATAACAGACTGATCAATTACAGTCTTAAATCTCAATGGGAAGATACAAGCAAAATAATACCAAGTGAATTTAAATTCACATCACTGCACAAGCAAGTGGCTATCAGGACTCAGTGGCTGAGTGGATAACGTGATAGCGTTCGAAGCGAATGGTACTGTGCTGGAGTCCTAGAGTGAACATCAACTCTGAGATGCAAGTACATCCAACTGACAAGTCCGAAATAGGACGAGACGCGCGTCCTGAATTCCACTACTAACCAC